CACGCTCCTCAGGAGATGTAAGAAAATGTTTTTCTCCCTCAGCCTGGCCTTCATAATTCCATTCCATCACATCAGCAGAGGAAACGATGGCAAATTAGAAACACAAGTTTACTGAAAAACAACCTACACTAACCAAGTGCTCCATTGCCAAAGTAACAACCCACCCTCCCACAAGAGGAGCTGTGTAAGAACATAATTCAGACAAATACAAACACACTGCAGCAACCCAGAACACCAGAAAAAGGAAACAGACCACCTATAAAACATCTTCCAACAAAATGGATACCCACAGAACTTTATCAGAAAGTGCCTGACCACTCAAGTCACTACAGCACAACCAACACAAACTATGAAAAGGACAACACTGCTATACATCAAAAACATTTGAGAAATAACCAACAGACTATTACAACCACATGGCATCACTGTAGCACACAAACCAACTAAAGCCTTCCAAAACATCTTAAGTAAACCAAAAGACCCACTAGCCCAAGGAGAAACAACAGGAGTTATATAGTGTAACATACAGTGTAACAGCCACTATGTAGGACAGATGGGCAGAAGACTAGAAGAGTGCATCCATGAACACCAACTAGCAGTCAGAAGACATCATGAAAACTCCTTAATCTCATAACACATGGACAGACTCAACCATAGTTTCAACTGGGAAACTGTGAGCATCCTAGACCAAGCTAAATCCAAAAATGCGAGGGAATTCCTAGAAGTGGCATCCTAGACCAAGCTAAATCCAAAAATGCGAGGGAATTCCTAGAAGTGGCATCCTAGACCAAGCTAAATCCAAAAATGCGAGGGAATTCCTAGAAGTGTGGCATTCAGACAAATTAGCCATTAATAGACACATAGAGGTAAACCACATTTATACACCATTCAAAAGAGACCATAAAAAAGCTAAGAAGGAAACAAAGACCAAAACATATCATCTCCAACAGCCAACACCTAGATAAGCAGGTGTTGCTTATCAGATAAACAATCAAGCAGGAAACAATACCCTAATCATGGAACTACCAAGGAGAAAACCACACCCCCACTGGCAGAGCAAGCTACTGTACTGTATATAAACAGGGAGCAAACCACACACTTAAGCTGCTGATGTTTCCTAGTCTGGTAATGAAACATTTGCAAGCAAATAACCAAGCTCAGAGAGCACCAAGGACTCCATAGTTCAACCCTGAGCTACGTATATTCTCTTCTATTGAAAGGATTGGTGTATTATGTATGAGAAAGCCATAGTAATGCAGAAGGTCCAGTCCTTTGTATGCAGAAGGTCCAGTCAATCCCCCATAAATTCAGGTAGAGGTGGGAAAGGTTCCTGCTTGAAACTGGAGAACTGCTCCTAGTCAGATCCAGAATTTGTGGATTCTAGCATTCCAGTAGATCCTAGAAACTCAAAGTTTGCATAGTCATGGGGTAGGGACAGTAATGAGCTAGATGGATTGGTACCTGGACTTGATGCAAATGATATCCTAGGTTCATTTCCATTTTTAAAAAGAGGAAATAGAAGATTACCTCAGACTCCAACCCAAATTAATCCCTCCTTTAACCTTTGCTGGAGTTTAACACTTGCAGCTGTTGGACAGAATGTAGTAATAAAAAATTTAAGCCATGCCATTTCTCATTGCTGATAGAGAACTTCGTTTTAGAGTGGCTGTCCCTGATCCTTTTTAAAAAGTTCCTTACATCAACAATTACATCAAGAGCTACACTGGAACTTTCTTCTTGATGGCCTGTTCCCTCCATACAATGGTTCTGAGTGTTTGGTTTGGTTTAAACATGGAGAAATATTCAAAAATTTCATTTTTCCACCTCCATTGAAGCAGAACAAAAGTATGCTGTTTCCATTTAGTAGGATACTTGGAAGAACAATTACTCTTGAGTATTCAACCCAGTGATGAATGACAGTTGTTCTTTGTATTATATTGAGAGAGGTAGATTGGCTATCTGTAAGATTTAACTGGCACTGAAAAAAGGAGAGAGGCATAGAATGGAATAGCTATAAAAAAAAATCAATTTGGATGGAGAAAAACCTCACATTTGCTATATATCCTTGGCAGAATCCTAAAGAACAGTCAACATCCTAGCTGTATTTCTGTTTCTTTGCCTGAATATCTATTCTAGTAAATCATGTTAGTCAGTGTATAAAGTGAGAGGTAGTTAATCATGCATGCTCCTTTCCAGAGGGGAGTCTGAACAAAAGCTTCAGCTTTTAAAGAAGCCTCTTTAACTAAAACTTCCATCATAACTTCTTTATATATTGTTCAGGTTTGCTACACTTTTGTTCGGTTTAAAATGCTTTCATAATCTATCAGGATGGGGGTCATTTATTGAACTTTATTTATTGATTTATAGGTATAGTTGATATAATTTACTAATCTGTAGGTGGCAGATATATATATATATATAGAGAGAGAGAGAGAGAATGAGAGAGAGAGAGAGAGAGAGAGAGAAGGGCTTTGAATATGAGGAAATGCATCTAAAGTAGTGGCTGCTGTCTTTTACATATGAGTATCACTCAAAAACAAGAATGTTGACTATTTTTAAAACTTAAACCATTTTGGCCTCTGGGGCAGTAATGTTCAGGACCTGCTTTCCTACTGCTCCAAGGCATTATGGGGTTATGAAATCTTGACTTTAAAAAAGGAATTGTCCACTTGTTACATAAAGGAATGAAAATATATTTTTAGAAAGAACCTAGAAAAACATGAAGGTATACCAATGTCTCTTGGATCTGCCAGGCTGCAGCTAACAAGATCTGAGATATGTTGGAGTGATCCAACTGGAGCATAAGATTGCTCTGCCAATCAATTAATGGAATAATTCTAAGCTACTCAGAGTATTGATTGGGAGTGTATTCAAATAAGTAAAGATATGGTATGGAAAGGGAACTGGGTATTGTCCCCGACCTTCTTGGAAGAGAGGCAGTATAGAAATATAATAATGTTATTCGGAAAAAGGTTCTGTTGTATTTTGTGGATCTTGCACCCAGATAATGTACACAGGGTAGCAGCCTAAGGTAATGTGGCTGATAGCTTTACTGTTACAATGTTCCCTCCAAAAGAAACAGTTTGATCTTGGTTTGGATTTTTAACATGCATGCAGCTTGAGGGTATTAAAATAATTTCTTTGAGTCACATCTAGATGTAGATCTAACCGATTTTACTCAAGGTTATCTTAATATGACATCCATTTTGGACCATATGGATTATTCAGTTCTAGGAAAGCCTTCCTGTAACAGTTTGCCCGTTGGGTACTCCTAATATTGAAGAGTATAAATACATAAGAAAACGTCTTCTGCACAGTCAGATTGTTATTCTGTATAACTTAAATTTGTTCACACTGACTAGCAGGAATATTTCAGAGATGTAGCTGGAGATGCTGAGATGGAGAACATCTGTACACAAAGTAGATGTTCTACATTTAAACCAGTACTTTTTCCTGTAATATATAATTAACCTGACAAGCAGTTATGATCCATGTCAGAAGACTAACATAGTTGTCAACAAGTAAGAAAGCAAGCAAGCACAGTTTATTACAGTCTTAGACCAGTACAAGAAGTTTGTTCATGAGTGACCTATGTTCAC